GTATCTATGGGGTATCTATGGGGTATCTATGGGGTATATGGTGTCTATGGGGTATCTATGGGGTATCTATGGGGTATCTATGGGGTATCTATGGGGTATCTATGGGGTATCTATGGGGTATATGGTGTCTATGGGGTATCTATGGGGTATATGGTATCTATGGGGTATATGTGGGTCCTGGGCTCATTGGGGTGCCCCTGTTCCCCCCCCCAGCGGCCTCCGGTTACGGCACCCAACGGCTCCGCATCGGCCGCGACGCGGTCAAGGACTTCGACTGCTGCTGCCTCTCCCTGCAGCCCTGCCGGGACCCCGTGGTCACGTGAGGCGCCCAAAATCACCCCCAAAACACCTAAAACCACCCAAAATGACCCCAAATCACCCCCAAAACACCTAAAACCACCCAAAATGACCCCAAATCACCTCAAAAACACCTAAAACCACCCAAAATGACCCCAAATCACCCCAAAATGACCCAAAAACCCAAAATGACCCCAAATCACCTCAAAAACACCTAAAACCACCCAAAATGACCCCAAATCACCTCAAAAACACCTAAAACCACCCAAAATGACCCCAAATCACCTCAAAAACACCTAAAACCACCCAAAATGACCCCAAATCACCTCAAAAACACCTAAAACCACCCAAAATGACCCCAAATCACCCCCAAAACACCTAAAACCACCCAAAATGACCCCAAATCACCTCAAAAACACCTAAAACCACCCAAAATGACCCCAAATCACCTCAAAAACACCTAAAACCACCCAAAATGACCCCAAATCACCTCAAAAACACCTAAAACCACCCAAAATGACCCCAAATCACCTCAAAAACACCTAAAACCACCCAAAATGACCCCAAATCACCTCAAAAACACCTAAAACCACCCAAAATGACCCCAAATCACCTCAAAAACACCCCAAATCACCCAAAATCACCCCCAAAACACCTCAAAAACACCTAAAACCACCCAAAATGACCCCAAATCACCTCAGAAACACCTAAAACCACCCAAAATGATCCCCAAAAACACCTAAAACCACCCAAAACCTCACCCCAAAACACCTAAAACCACCCAAAATGACCCCAAATCACCCCAAAAACACCTAAAACCACCCAAAATGACCCCAAATCACCCCAAAAACACCTAAAACCACCCAAAATGACCCCAAATCACCTCAAAAACACCTAAAACCACCCAAAATGACCCCAAATCACCTCAAAAACACCTAAAACCACCCAAAATGACCCCAAATCACCTCAAAAACACCTAAAACCACCCAAAATGACCCCAAATCACCTCAAAAACACCTAAAACCACCCAAAATGACCCCAAATCACCTCAAAAACACCTAAAACCACCCCCAAAATCACCCCAAAACACACACCCCAAAAAAAAACAAAATCACCCCAAAAACACCCAAAATCACCCCAAAAAAACCAAAATCACCACAAAACACCCCAAAACACCCAAAACACCCCAAAAAGACCCCAAACCCCAAAATCACCCCAAAATCACCCCAAAATCACCCCAAATCACCCCAAAATCACCCCAAAACACCCAAAATCACCCCAAAATGACCCAAAATCACCCTGAAACACCCCAAATCACCCCAAAATGACCCAAAATCACCCCAAAAAACTGAAACACCCCACCAAAACACCCAAAATCACCCCAAAACACCCCGTAACACCCCAAAAACACCCAAAATCACCCCAAAACACCCAAAATCAGCCCCAAAACACTCAAAACATCCCCGGAACACCCAAAAAGACCCAAAATCACCCAAAACCACCCAAAATAACCCAAAATCAAATCACCCCAAAATCACCCCAAAATCACCCCAAAATCACCCCCAAATACCCCAAAACAAACACAAAACACCCCAACATCACCCCAAAACACCCCAAAAACACCCAAAATCACCCCAAAAAAACCAAAATCACCACAAAACACCCCAAAACACCCTAAAATCACCCAAAATCACCCCAAAATCACCCCAAAACACCCAAAATCACCCAAAAAAGGACCCAAAATCACCCCAAAACACCCCAAAATCAACCCAAAATGACCCAAAACCACCCCAAAACGCCCCAAAAAAAAAACAAAATCACCCCAAAATGACCCAAAATCACAAAAAAAAAAATGACCCAAAATCACCCCAAAATGACCCAAAATCACAAAAAAAAACAAAATCACCCCAAAATGACCCAAACCCCCCCCCATTGCCCCCTTTGCCCCCTCCCCGCAGCCCCGATGGGTTCCTGTACGAGCGCGAGGCCATCGTGCAGTACCTGCTGCACCGCAAGGGGGAGCTCGCGAGGCGCAGGAAGGTACCCGCGCTTGGGGGGCGCTTAGGGGTCCTAGGGGGCACTTAGGGGTCCCAGGGAGTCACTTATGGGTCCCAGAGGGCACTTATGGGGCATTTATGGGTCCTAGGGGCACTTATGGGGCACTTATGGGGCACTTATGGGGCACTTATGGGTCCTAGGGGGCACTTACGGGGCACTTATGGGGCACTTATGGGTCCCGGGGGTCACTTATGGGGCCATTATTGGGCACTCTAGGGGTCCCAGGGGGCACTTAGGGGGCACTTAAGAGGCACTTATGGGGCACTTAGGGGTCCCAGGGGGCACTTAGGGGGCACTTATGGGTCCTAGAGGGCACTTATGGGGCACTTAGGGGTCCCGGGTTGCACTTAGGGGGCACTTAGGGGTCCCGGGTTGCACTTAGGGGGCACTTAGGGGTACCAGGCGGCACTTATGGGTCCCAGGAGATCACTTATGGGGCACTTATGGGTCCTAGGGGGCACTTATGGGGCACTTATGGGGCACTTAGGGGTCCCAGGGGGCACTTATGGGGCACTTATGGGGCACTTACAGGTCCTAGAGGGCACTTACGGGGCACTTATGGGTCCCAGGGGGTCACTTATGGGTTCTAGGGGTCACTTGTGGGTCCCAGGGTGGTCACTTATGGGGCACTTATGGGTCCCGGGGGTCACTTATGGGGCACTTATGGGTCCTAGGGGTCACTTATGGGTCGCAGGGGGTCACTTAGGGGGCACTTATGGGTCCCAGGGTGGTCACTTATGGGTCCCAGGGATCACTTATGGGTTGCAGGGGGCACTTAGGGGGCACTTAGGGGGCACTTATAGGTCCTAGGGGTCACTTATGGGTCCCAGGGGGTCACTTAGGGGTCACTTATGGGTCCCAGGGGGTCACTTAGGGGGCACTTACGGGTCCCAGGGGTCACTTATGGGTCCCAGGGGGTCACTTAGGGGTCACTTATGGGTCCCAGGGGGTCACTTATGGGTCCCGGGGGTCACTTATGGGTCACTTCCCCCCCCAGGCCTATCGGCGGCAGCAGCAGCAAGAGCGGGAGCAGCAGAAGCAGAAACAGAGCCCCCTGGCGGCCGGCGGGAGCAGTGATGGTATGGGGGGGCTATGGGGCAGGGCTGTGGGGCTGGGCTATGGGGCTGAGCTATGGGGCTGGGCTGTGGGGCTGGGCTGTGGGGCTGGGCTGTGGGGCTGGGCTGTGGGGCTGGGCTATGGGGCTGGGCTGTGGGGCTGGGCTATGGGGCTGGGCTGTGGGGCAGGGCTATGGGGCTGAGCTATGGGGCTGGGCTATGGGGCTGGGCTGTGGGGCTGGGCTATGGGGCTGGGCTATGGGGCAGGGCTATGGGGCTGAGCTATGGGGCTGGAAATGGGGCTATGGGGCTGAGCTATGGGGCTGGGCTATGGGGCTGAGCTGTGGGGCAGGGCTATGGGGCTGAGCTAGGGGCTGGGCTATGGGGCTGAGCTAGGGGCTGGGCTATGGGGCTGAGCTAGGGGGCAGGGCTATGGGGCTGAGCTGTGGGGCAGGGCTATGGGGCTGGGCTGTGGGGCTGAGCTGTGGGGCAGGGCTATGGGGCTGAGCTGTGGGGCAGGGCTATGGGGCTGAGCTGTGGGGCAGGGCTATGGGGCTGAGCTAGGGGGCAGGGCTATGGGGCTGGGCTGTGGGGCTGAGCTAGGGGGCAGGGCTATGGGGCTGGGCTGTGGGGCTGAGCTAGGGGGCAGGGCTATGGGGCAGCCCCACAGCTCTGACCCCCCTGTTCCCCCATAGACCCCGGCCCCTCTGGGACCCTCCCAAGCTTCTGGATCCCATCCTTGACCCCCGAGGCTGGAGCTGAGCGGCTGCAGAAGCCGGTGAGTGCCCCATAGCGCGGCTCCCCCCGCCCCATAGCGCGGCTCCCCCTGCCCCATAGCGCGGCTGCCCCTGCCCCACAGCGCGGCTCCCCCTGCCCCATAGCGCGGCTTCCCCTGCCCCATAGCGCGGTCTCCCTGCCCCATAGCGCAAGTCCAACTGCCCCATAGCGCGGCTCCCCCTGCCCCATACCGTGGCTCCCCCGCCCCATAGCGCGGCTCCCCCCGCCCCATAGTGCGGTCCCCGTGCCCCACAGCGCGGCTCCCCCTGCCCCATAGCGTGGCTCCCCCTGCCCCAGGGGGCGTGGTCCCCCCGCCCCATAGCGCTGCTCCCCCCACCCCATAGCGCGGTCTCCCTGCCCCATAGCGCGGCTTCCCCTGCCCCATAGCGCGGCTCCCCCTGCCCCATCGCGTGGTCCCCCCGCCCCATAGCGCGGCTCCCCCCACCCCATAGCGCAGCTCCCCCTGCCCCATAGCGCGGTCTCCCTGCCCCATAGCGCGGCACCCCATAACCTGTGTGTCTTTCTCTATGGGGCACCCCATAACCTGTGTGTCTTTCTCTATGGGGCACCCCATACCCTCTCTATGGGGCACCCCATAACCTGTGTGTCTTTCTCTATGGGGCACCCCATAACCTGTGTGTCTTTCTCTATGGGGCACCCCATAACCTCTCTCTATGGGGCACCCCATAACCTCCCTATGGGGCAGCCCCATAACCTCTCTCTATGGGGCACCCCATAACCTCCCTATGGGGCACCCCATAACCTCTCTCTATGGGGCAGCCCCATAACCTGTGTCTCTCTGGGGCACCCCCTAACCTCTCCCTATGGGGCACCCCATAACCTCTCTATGGGGCACCCCATAACCTGTGTGTCTATGGGGCACCCCATAACCTCTCTCTATGGAGCAGCCCCATAACCTCTCTCTATGGGGCACCCCCTAACCTGTGTCTCTCTGTGGGGCAGCCCCATAACCTGTGTCCCTATGGGGCACCCCATAACCTGTGTCCCTATGGGGCACCCCCTAACCTCCCTATGGGGCAGCCCCATAACCTCTCTCTATGGGGCGCCCCCTAACCTGTGTGTCTATGGGGCAGCCCCATAACCTCTCTCTATGGGGCACCCCCTAACCTGTGTCTCTCTGTGGGGCAGCCCATAACCTCCCTATGGGGCGCCCCCTAACCTGTGTCTCTATGGGGCACCCCCTAACCTCCCTATGGGGCACCCCCTAACCTGTGTCCCTATGGGGCACCCCATAACCTCTCTCTCTGGGGCACCCCATAACCTGTGTCTCTCTGGGGCACCCCATAACCTCTCTCTATGGGGCACCCCATAACCTCTCGCTATGGGGCACTCCATAACCTGTGTCTCTCTGGGGCACCCCCTAACCTGTGTCTCTATGGGGCACCCCATAACCTGTGTCTCTCTCTATGGGGCACCCCATAACCTCTCTCTATGGGGCACCCCATAACCTGTGTTTCTCTCTATGGGGCACCCCATAACCCCTCTATGGGGCACCCCCTAACCTGTGTCTCTCTGTGGGGCAGCCCCATAACCTGTGTCTCTATGGGGCAGCCCCATAACCTGTGTCTCTGTGGAGCACCCCATAACCTCTCTCTATGGGGCACCCCATAACCTCTCTCTATGGGGCACCCCCTAACCTCTCCCTATGGGGCACCCCATAACCTCTCCCTATGGGGCAGCCCCATAACCTGTGTCCCTATGGGGCAGCCCCATAACCTCTCTCTATGGGGCGCCCCATAACCTCTCTCTATGGGGCACCCCATAACCTGTGTCTCTCTGGGGCACCCCATAACCTCTCTCTATGGGGCACCCCATAACCTGTGTCTCTATGGAGCACCCCATAACCTCTCTCTATGGTGCACCCTATAACCTCTCTATGGGGCACCCCATAACCTCTCTCTCTGGGGCACCCCATAACCTCCCTATGGGGCACCCCATAACCTGTGTGTCTATGGGGCACCCCATAACCTCTCTCTCTGGGGCACCCCATAACCTGTGTGTCTCTCTCTATGGGGCACCCCATAACTTCTCTCTCTGGGGCACCCCATAACCTGTGTCTCTATGGGGCACCCCATAACCTCTCTCTATGGGGCACCCCATAACCTGTGTGTCTATGGGGCACCCCATAACCTGTGTCTCTCTGTGGGGCAGCCCCATAACCTGTGTCCCTATGGGGCACCCCATAACCTCCCTATGGGGCAGCCTATAACCTCTCTCTCTGGGGCGCCCCATAACCTCTCTCTATGGGGCAGCCCCATAACCTGTGTCTCTCTGGGGCACACCATAACCTGTGTTTCTCTCTATGGGGCACCCCATAACCTCTCTATGGGGCACCCCATAACCTCTCTCTATGGGGCACCCCATAACCTGTCTCTATGGGGCACCCCCTAACCTGTGTCTCTATGGGGCACCCCATAACCTCTCTATGGGGCACCCCCTAACCTCTTTCTCTGGGGCACCCCATAACCTGTGTCCCTATGGGGCACCCCATAACCTCTCTATGGGGCACCCCATAACCTCTCTATGGGGCACCCCATAACCTCTCTCTATGGGGCACCCCCTAACCTGTGTCTCTATGGAGCACCCCATAACCTGTGTCTCTATGGGGCACCCCATAACCTCCCTATGGGGCACCCCATAACCTGTGTCCCTATGGGGCATCCCATAACCTCTCTATGGGGCAGCCCCATAACCACTCCCTATGGGGCACCCCATAACCTGTGTCTCTATGGGGCACCCCATAACCTCTCTCTGGGGCACCCCATAACCTGTGTGTCTCTCTCTATGGGGCACCCCATAACTTCTCTCTCTGGGGCACCCCATAACCTGTGTCTCTATGGGGCACCCCATAACCTCTCTCTATGGGGCACCCCATAACCTGTGTGTCTATGGGGCACCCCCTAACCTGTGTGTCTATGGGGCACCCCATAACCTCTCTCTATGGGGCAGCCCCATAACCTCTCTCTATGGGGCAGCCCCATAACCTCTCTCTATGGGGCACCCCATAACCTGTGTTTCTCTCTATGGGGCACCCCATAACCTCTCTCTCTGGGGCACCCCATAACCTGTGTCTCTATGGGGCACCCCATAACCTCTCTCTATGGGGCAGCCCCATAACCTCTCTCTATGGGGCACCCCATAACCTCTCTCTCTGGGGCACCCCATAACCTGTGTCTCTATGGGGCACCCCATAACCTCTCTCTATGGAGCAGCCCCATAACCTCCCTATGGGGCACCCCATAACCTCCCTATGGGGCAGCCCCATAACCTCTCTCTATGGGGCACCCCATAACCTCTCTCTATGGGGCAGCCCCATAACCTCTCTCTATGGGGCACCCCATAACCTGTGTGTCTATGGGGCACCCCATAACCTGTGTCTCTATGGGGCACCCCATAACCTGTGTCTCTATGGGGCAGGAGGGGGGCGCGCGGTGCCCCATGAGCGGGCGCCGCCTTCGCCTTCGGGACCTGGTTCCCGTTCGCTTCGCGCCGCTGGAGCCGGGGCTGCGGCGCCCCCAGCTCCTGGCGCGGGCCCCGGGCTCCCGGTACCGGTGCGCGGTGAGCGGGGACCCCCTGGGCAACGGCAGCGCCTGCGCGGTGCTGCGCCCGTCGTGAGTGCGCCAGGGCCCATTGGGACCCATAGAGACCCATAGAGACCCCATAGGGAACCATAGAGACCCCATAGGGAACCATAGAGACCCATAGGGAGCCATTGGGACCCATAGAGACCCCATTGGGACCCATAGAGACCCATAGAGACCCCATTGGGACCCATAGGGAGCCATTGGGACCCATAGGGAGCCATTGGGACCCCCTGGGCAACGGCAGCGCCTGCGCGGTGCTGCGCCCGTCGTGAGTGACCCAGACCCATAGGGACCCATAGAAACCCCATAGAAACCCATTGGGACCCATAGAGACCCCATTGGGACACATAGAGACCCATTGGGAGCCCATTGGGACCCATAGAGACCCATAGGGAGCCATAGAGACCCATTGGGAGCCATTGGGACCCATAGAGACCCCATTGGGACCCATAGAGACCCATAGAGACCCCATTGGGACCCATAGAGACCCATAGAGACCCCATTGGGACCCATAGAGACCCATAGGGAGCCATTGGGAGCCATAGAGACCCATAGAGACCCCATTGGGACCCATTGGGAGCCATTGGGACCCCCTGGGCAACGGCAGCGCCTGCGCGGTGCTGCGGCCGTCGTGAGTGCACCCGGACCCATAGGGACACATAGAGACCCATAGAGACCCCATTGGGACACATAGCCATTGGGACCCATAGGGAGCCATTGCGACCCATAGAGACTCCATTGGGACCCATAGAGACTATAGAGACCATAGAGACCCAGAACCCATAGAGACTCCTAAATGCCCTAATGGGACCCCCAAGTGCCCCCCTGGGACCCCCAAGTGCCCCCCTGGGACCCCAAACTGACCCCATGGGACCCCCAAGTGCCCCCATGGGACCCCAAGCTGACCCCATAGGACCCCCAAGTGCCCCCATGGGACCCCAAGCTGACCCCATAGGACCCCTAAGTGGCCCCCTGGGACCCCCAAGTGCCTCCATGGGACCCATAAGTACCCCCCTGGGACCCCAAACTGACCCCATAGGACCCCTAAGTGCCCCATGGGACCCCTAAGTGCCCCCCTGGGACCCCAAACTGACCCCATGGGACCCCCAAGTGCCCCCATGGGACCCCAAGCTGACCCCATAGGACCCCTAAGTGCCCCATGGGACCCCCAAGTGCCCCCTGGGACCCCAAACTGGCCCCATAGGACCCCTAAGTGGCCCCCTGGGACCCCCAAGTGCCCCCTGGGACTCCCAAACTGGCCCCATAGGACCCCTAAGTGGCCCCCTGGGACCCCTAAGTGCCCCATGGGACCCCCAAGTGCCCCTGGGACCCCCACATGCCCCTCTGGGACCCCTAAGTGGCCCCCTGGGACCCCCAAGCTGACCCCATGGGACCCCAAACTGACCCCATAGGACCCCTAAGTGCCCCCATGGGACCCCAAACTGACCCCATAGGACCCCCAAGTGCCCTCTGGGACCCCCAAGTGCCCCCATGGGACCCCAAGCTGACCCCATGGGACGCCCAAGTGCCCCCATGGGACCCCCAAGTGCCCCCTGGGACCCCCACATGCCCCTCTAGGACCCCTAAGTGGCCCCCTGGGACCCCTAAGTGCCCCATGGGACCCCAAACTGACCCCATAGGACCCCCAAGTGCCCCCTGGGACCCCCAAGTGCCCCCCTGGGACCCCAAACTGACCCCATGGGACCCCTAAGTGCCCCCATAGGACCCCCAAGTGCCCCCATGGGACCCCAAACTGACCCCATAGGACCCCTAAGTGCCCCCCTGGGACCCACAAATGCCCCCCTGGGACCCCAAACTGACCCCATAGGACCCCTAAGTGCCCCATGGGACCCCCAAGTGACCCCATAGGGACCCCCAAGTGCCCCCATGGGACCCCAAACTGACCCCATAGGACCCCCAAGTGCCCCCTGGGACCCATAAGTGCCCCCCTGGGACCCCCAAGTGCCCCTGGGACCCCCACATGCCCCTCTGGGACCCCTAAGTGCCCCCTGGGACCCCCAAGTGCCCCCATGGGACCCCAAACTGACCCCATAGGACCCCTAAGTGCCCCATGGGACCCCCAAGTGCCCCTCTGGGACCCCAAAGTGCCCCCTGGGACCCCCAAGTGCCCCCATGGGACCCCCACAGTGCCCCTCTCGGACCCCTAAGTGCCCCCTGGGACCCCCAAGTGCCCCCCTGAGACCCCAAACTGACCCCCTGGGACCCCTAAGTGCCCCCCTGGGACCCACAAATGCCCCCTGGGACCCCAAACTGACCCCATAGGACCCCCAAGTGCCCCCCTGGGACCCCCAAGTGCCCCCATGGGACCCCAAGCTGACCCCATAGGACCCCTAAGTGCCCCATGGGACCCCCAAGTGCCCCTCTGGGACCCCAAACTGACCCCATGGGACCCCTAAGTGCCCCCTGGGACCCCCAAGTGCCCCCCTGGGACCCCCAAGTGCCCCCCTGGGACCCCAAACTGACCCCATAGGACCCCCAAGTGCCCCCCTGGGACCCCAAACTGACCCCATAGGACCCCTAAGTGCCCCATGGGACCCCAAGCTGACCCCATAGGACCCCTAAGTGCCCCCTGGGACCCCCAAGTGCCCCCCTGTGACCCCAAACTGACCCCATGGGACCCCAAACTGACCCCATAGGACCCCTAAGTGCCCCCCTGGGACCCCCAAGTGCCCCTCTAGGACCCCTAAGTGCCCCCATAGGACCCCCAAGTGCCCCCATGGGACCCCAAACTGACCCCATAGGACCCCAATCTGACCCCATGGGACCCCCAAGTGCCCCCCTGGGACCCCAAACTGACCCCATAGGACCCCCAAGTGCCCCCATGGGACCCCAAACTGACCCCATAGGACCCCTAAGTGCCCCCCTGGGACCCCATGCTGACCCCATAGGACCCCCAAGTGCCCCCTGGGACCCCCAAGTGCCCCCATGGGACCCCAAGCTGACCCCATAGGACCCCTGCCCCCCAAGTCCCCCC